CCTCGGGCAGTGGCGCTGGGCCGGGAGGCCGGCGAGTGTGTGGAGAGGTCCCGGTGCGCCCCGCAGGGGGAGATGGCGTCCTACGTGGATAATAGCTTCCGCCAAGCGGTGATGAAGAACCCCGCCGAGAGGACCCCCCAGGTGAGACGCGCCGCTAGCAGCCGGGGGTTGGTGTCTGCTGACTGCGCCCTTCCAGTGCCCCGGCACTCCTGTGCCGAGGAAGCAGCCCAAGCCTCCATCCAGGACTTCCCCTGCCCCAACTTCCAAGGGCATTCTTTTCAGACCGTTCTGCGATTGTTGCCCTCTCCTTTGCTGTCCTTTACGCTGCACTCCCTGTGGCTGACCTTGCTCGTGGGTCTGCGGGACAAGGTGCTGTCTGTAGGGCTTGTCTCTCTCCGGCCCCACTCCCCCGGGACTCGGAATCTTGGGGTCAGGTCTCACCTCGGCCAGGTACTGTTGTCACCCTGACTGCAGGCTCAGTTGTTCCCTTGCATCTATCCCATCTTTAGAGTTTAGGGGTGTTTCATGAGCTGTAAGAAGAAGCTGTTGAGCAAAAGACTGATCCAGGTGGGCCTTATAAAGGGAAACACAGAGGCGCCTGTTTTTATTTACCGCTTTACTTTCTTGAAAGAGGGATGTTGCTTTCCACCGAAGGAAAAAGTTGACAGCTAGGCTAGCGCTTTTAATTCCAATTGTAGACATAACTGCAGAACAGGAGTATTGAATTCCCTCTTCCTCTCAGGGCAGATTCTTTGGGTTTGCACAACCTTGTCAAAATGAGATAAGTGGTTAACCTTTATACATTTGTTTATCCTCACGTTTCTTTTGTTTTTAAATGGAGGGATTGCTGGTGGGTTGGATTTGATTTGGTTTTCTTAGTTTGCATTAGCGAGGGTGGAGTGCTATAAAATGTGGTTTGATTTCTTTTGCTTACTGGATAATGACGTATATTTCTAAATGTTGGGGTGGTGACTACAGGGGATCCTGCTTGCCAACCCTGTAGGCAAATAAGGTCTACATATCCTTGGGACCAGCAGTAAATACAGGGAGGATGCAATACTTGAAAAAGTTGCTTTGCTTCTGAGGTGTTGGATACCATCTGTCCAAACCCAAATGCTGTCTGTCTCTGATGATGATTATTTAATGGGTGAGGGAATAGAATAAAATAGAATCTTCCATTGGCTGCCTTTGGACAAGCCCCAAGGATGGCACCTGGCACTATTTTTGATGGTTTTCTTTTTGCTGGATGGAGGTGTTGTATGTGGGAAATGTGTATAGATTACATATTTGCCAAACCCGTGGAAGATGGGCTGTAATTTTACAAGAACCTTCATTTAAGTGTCTCCATAAGTACCTTCTATTCTAAAGGGCAGTTTTTATCCTTCGATCTTGTCCCTTTTCTGGTGTTGGTGCAGCTGCCCATCATGTGCCTTCATCATCAGTATTTGTCAAAACTGTCAGCTGTACCCATGTTCTGCTCTAGAGAAGGCACTACCAGTTTATTGTGTAGGCAAAGCAACTTTTATGAGATCTCCCAGTTCCTTTCAAGAACAGAGTTTGAAGTGCCAAGTGAAATTACACATGCAGAGGACATTAGAGCCTAGCAAGGCTGGTCAGAAAGTGATGTCACAGGCCTGTAGTAGAAATTAGAGAGGGGGAAATGGTGTGCTGGGTTGATTTAGTTAGAAGGATAACAATGAAACCTCTTTCCCTGTTCCTGTGCCAATGGTGTGGAATATAGAAACCAACCAACCAGAGGACTCTTGGCCCACTGAGAAAGTGGGCGGTTGCTACTAACCCTATAAGCTGAAAGCTCTATTTGAAAATCTGGAAGCTCCACATGTCTTTTCCCCACCTGACCTCAGGAGAAGCAGAGAGAGAAATCTGCCAAACAGCGGCGAACACTCTCAAGTGTCAGCCTGTTAACTTTGGTGTTTAGTTTTACTAGTGTAGTAGTTTTACTTTGTTTATCGTTTTAAAGAGAGATACGTTAGAAATAGGAATGTTTTCTCATCCTTACCGAAGTTGTTTAGAAATAATTCATCTGGAAGTTGGAGATCTCCTTGAGTAGAAAACATGCTCTGTTGATCTACCTGTGAAAGGTTTTCCATGCAGTATATTCTCATAGATGCTTGGTTTGTAATATAATTAAAACAACCTTGTTGCATAGCTTGATCCGATTGGAAGAACAGGACTTGGGGAAGCTTAGCTGTGGAGTATCGTGTATCTGAGGACTGACTTGATAGAGTGAAGTGTGACAGGCAAAACCAGAAGGTGCTTGAAAAGAATGAAAGAAAACATTTGTTGACTGATTTATTCTTGTTGGGTTCAGCTCCTCCTTCCCTTCCCTAGCCATCCTTAGCAATTTACCAGACTCTTTGAAACAAGTTCTGTATTTAGGCCAGTCAGTTGCTTCCATGTCATTTTGATAACTACACCAGTGTAGTTAAGCAATTGGTGAATAGCGCATCTGGGGCTGGAGAGTTTCAAGGATTTTGACACTTAAGAACTATTCGTATGTATCGGGGAGTGGCAAGCCACGCCTAGGCATGCCACTAAGAAGTGGGGAATGGTAAGGAGAAATACAAGGAAAGCTTATCACCTGAGATTTTAGCCAAGAGGCTTCCACTATTTCACCTGATATTTTAGGAGAGGAAATGTCTCTAATCCAGTGTTTATTCTGTATTGTGTGTCTGGAAACTTGTCCTCCTTCTACTCAATGGGGCACTGTATTCTAAAATAATGTACTCCCTGGAAAAGAATGGGCAGTAAACATTGTATTGATACTTTTCAATGCATCTCTGTTGAAAAACAGGATTGCCAAGTAACTGTTTTATTCAACGATTTGGGTTTATGTGTTTAATCACTTAAATAATTGTGGTCACCAAGGCAATTTAGTGAAGTTTAGAGATGTAAATAAATTACAAGCAGCATTATACCCTAAGGCTTCATACAATGAATTTTTTTCTTTTTTCTTTTGTTAAACTACTTTATTAACCTGTTGAGTTCAGGCCCTTTGAAATTGCTTCTGTGGTATGTTTAAATATTTACTTTCAAATAGTATGTGTAAAATAATTCTAATCCCATCTCTTTCTAGTTAGTAATATTTGGTTTTCAGTATTAAACTTTTTTGAGGGGTGTGGGGCTAACTTTTTTGGCTGAGTTGCCAATGCTCAGGAATGCATAGGTCAGAGTTCCTAAGAGTACAGGACAGGGGCCATTTTTTTTTTTTTTTTTTTTTTTTTTTTTTTTTTTATTTTTTTTCTTTGGTCAGAGTCAGTCACTCAGTGGAATTTATTGTGTCTTAATGACAACTGAAACAAAATAAAGTAGATCACCTTGGTAAACTGAACATGTATCCTAACAACTGCTGAGTATCCTCTTCATGGTAGCTGTGGCCTGGGAGCTTCCCAGTTGGAAGAATAGCATAACACATACTACTGGAAAGGTCAGAATCCAGAACCTACCTCAAGCAGGGTTTCTGCTGAATGCATGTATCATTTTGTAATTGTAAGTAAAAAACAAAACGACAAAAACAAATCCTAATGAACCCCAAAAGTAAGGGGCCATCTGTATCAGACTTACCGTAGTTATGCCAAATATAATAGTATTTCTTGATGTGATTTCTAAACATAGCACTGTTGGGAGAGATGGGGGATGCTGAAGTTTATCAGGCAAAAAGTCTTGTGTCATGTGGAAACCCACCAACTGCTGGTGTTACAGTGTAATATTGATTGTAGCTAGTGTTTGAGAACAGTTGTTACACTCTTCCTTTATCATCCTTGTGTCATTGAAACAAACACCTGAGGTAATTTATAAAAAGAACAGGTTTGTTTTGGCTCAGCTTTAGAAGCACATGATTAGGGAGGCCTGCTGCTTTTTAGGGCTCTGGTGGGCTTCCAGATGTGATACAGGAACACATCCCCATCTATTGGTCAGGAAGCAATGAGAGAGGAAGAGGCTGGGATTCTGGAGGTCTTTTTGGGGACCGGTGACCTTGGAAACCTCTCCTTAGACCTCCTCCTGCACCTTCTACCTCCCAATAGTGCTTTTCTGCGGCAAGCCTTCAACAGGGACCATTCAACATCCAAACTGTAGCTATAACAGGCCTCAATGCCAGGTTTTGTTAGTTAATATTGGCACATTAGGAGGAATAGGAGAGATTTGTAGCCCATGTATCAGCCTTTGTTGGTTGCTTTGTCATAGCTAGAGGTTAGAGAGCCATAGCTAGTGAAAATATGCTAATGTATACATCCATCACCTTTTGTAGGTGAAAATAAGAGGACTGCCATGTTAATTGTGATGACTTTTATGTTTTTGAGGGGAAAAGAACCCCCCTCCCCCTTTTGGGTCCATACCAGGCTGGTGAAACCCACAGAAACAGCTGACCTTAACAAGGGAAAACTCTTGGTCCCCAGACTGATAGCTGGGAAACCAGCATGGGACTGATGCAGAGTCCCTAAATGTGGGTGTCAGTGAGGAGACCTTGGAAATCTATGGGGCTTCTTGTAGTGGATCAGTACTTATCACTACCATAGGAATGGACTTTGGGAGCCCATCCCACATGGAGGGATACTCCCTGAGCCTAGACACAGGGGGTTGGCCTAGGCCCTATCCCAAAGAATATGACAGACTTTGAAGACCCCCTATGGAAGGCCCCACCCTTCCTGGGGAGCAGAAAGGGTATGGGATGGATAGGGTGTTAGTTGGGGGGCAGGGAAGGAGGTGAGGGAGAGGGACCTGGGATTGACATGTAAAATAATTTTATTTCTAATAAAAAAGGGGGAAAAAGAACCCCCCTTTTAATTTCTGAGCTTACACAATAATTAACCATGTATTGAACTGTATGAAGTGTGCCACTTGCTGCAGTCAGGTATTTCTGTTTTCTCCACCAGTCTTTGGAAAGTTATGTTTAATGCCATGTTGGTGGGCTGGGGTTTGTGGAGGGGCAAGTTGGAATGTCCAGCATTTGACATTGAGGCATTAAGTCATCTACAAATATGTTGGGCTGCATTCATACCTATGCTGAGATGCATATGGCCTGTTTGCTGCAGGTTGGTTTTGCCAACATTAAGTCATGGGTTTTTGTTTTTTGCTTTTGAGGCAGGGTTTCACTGTGTAGCCCAAGCTGGCCTATAACT